TTTCATGGGAAACTTTCCCAAGGGCCCGCCGTCATTTTTTCACGGAGCCCACCGAAATTCCAGTTTGGAATTTACCATAACAATTGGCCTAAAGCGCACTTTGCGCACTACGGGGTTACTCTATTTCGTCGGATGAACAAACGGCGCGGCGCGTCTACGAAGTCTGCAGCAAGTTGGGCGAGCACAGACTATGCATGTTGAGACATTCGTCCACGTTTTGAAGCTTCCGAAAGTGGGCCGCGTTTGTGCTTGCCGGGCAGCCCTGGGCTGTATGGCCAACAACCCTCTGTCATTCACGGGTTTCGCTGTCTTGGCACCGATCCATGATCATATCTATGTATCTCTGATGTGGTCGTTTGGCATGAGACTATGGATCAAAATAATTTCAATCATAAAACCCGGTGGCCGCACCTCGGAAACCTTGCCGAAGCTCCTCCCTAGGATGTATCCAATGCCCTTTCCGTCACCATCATGTCGGCGGTCTTCGTGGTGACGTTCTTCGTACCGATGGGTTGGAAAAATCAGCTTGGCCACATCCCCCAGAAGCAGGGCTCGTAGCAAGACCATGGCGCGGCAGGTCGGCTGTGCGAGATCACGGGAGAGACCACTCCCGCTTGCCGCTTGCCGCGGGGGGTACGCAAATGAAAAGAGGGGGGGGATTTGATTTCACGGGTTACCCCTGTTTGCGGTCATACCCACCGAACAGCAGCACGGCGGTGTCGGCTTGTGTGTCGCTCAGCTTCCTTGTCGGGGGATGGCGGGCACCAAGAGGGTTGCCATAACCTGGTGAGCATGATTCTCTTCGGGGACAAGCTTATGCTGCTCTAGCGACATAAATCGTGGCACTTCTGATTTCCATCACGCAAAATATTCTGCTTATTTTCCTGCCCATGCTCGCACCCGGCCCTTGGTATCAGCACGGGATATGTACAGCAGTAGTTACCGCAGAGACCTCCAATGGGTGGCGGTAACAGAGCATCGCTGTATCATAGCCATACACGTACAAAGACCTGACCCTTTTACCTGAGTTTCCTACGATAGTTGCAATGTAGACGCACCGAGCGAACGACGAGGTTCACTTCGGCTAACTTACTCCTTCATGCGTTCAACATCCAAATACTTGCCGGTTGTTCATCACTGATGCGTCGTTCCAGGACACCGATATTACGTAGTAACAATGGCGACTCCTGTGGACCTCCAGGCACTACCGCCGCCTACGCTGCCGGTGCTGGTGCCGCCGCTTTCCGCCCGCTTCCCCGCGAGCAAGCTCTCGCGGACAAGCACCCGCTGGCCGTGCCTCGAGTGAAGCAACGCCCTCGGCGAACATCAACGACGTCGTCAACAACCACAGCAGCAGCCAACACGGCGGCGACTGTACGACGACGGGCGTCGGCGGCTACCAGAAGCTCTTCGGCGCCGGTGCCGACAGCAGCAGCAGCAACAATCGCTGGTAACGGCAAGTTCGCCACTGTCTTGGGCGACTCCAAGGCCGGCAACATCGGCGGGACAGACAGCAGCGGCGGCGGCGGCAGCAAGAACAAGGACCCGCTGTTGGAGCTATGGATGACGCCGCCGCCGCCGCCGCCGTCAGCTCCCGAGTCGATCCCCGGCGAGGGCGAGGGCGAGGGCGGGGTGGCTGGCAGCACCACGGCGCACGCGCCGGAGACCCAGCTGGCGGTTTTCAACGACGTTGAGCGGGCAAGAAACCGTTGGCGATAGCGCTCGTTATGTGATGTAGGCGTTTGTGACCGGGAGGTGCAGCAGCATGTGCATGCGTAACGCAGCAAGGGATACGCCCTCTTCGGGTTTTGCAAGTATTTTTTTTCCGTAAGGAGGCCACGTGGATTGGAGGCCATATTGCCTCCCTCACCTCCTTCGGCGAAGGATTGTCTGCTTGACTTGTCCTCTATTGTTATGTGCTTGCAAACGGCGCTGCTTGCCTTCTTGCTCCCCGGCGTCGCAGGATGTGAAGGTGGCCGTCGCCGGCCTCTCCGACGACCCTCTGTCGATGATGATGCAAGAGAGGGCGATGGCGAGAAACATGTCAAGACACGGGGGTGAGAGTTGAGAGAACTCGTACGTAGTGCTGCCACCGACACTTTCCCAATATGCACACGGGGTATGGAGGCCGTGAAGCTACACATTGCGCGCAGAATGACATCGATTTTCAACTTCGCTGCTGCTGTCGCCTGCCCGCCCCACTACTGCTGTGAACCTGAAGCTCGCCTTGTCCCGACGCTTTGGCCTTCTCGTGCATCCATCCCCTCCTCTTCCCGCGGATATCGCAAATGGCAGGCAGCGTGCCCGACAACGATATGTTGGACGATGCCATCATGACGCCAGGGTCTCCGGGATCTGCCGGCACGGCGAGCGTCGTTCTGGGGAACGGCGGCGGCGGCAGCAGCTTGCTCGAGAACTTGGAGCGGGGGTCGTCGCGGTTGTCGGAATCCGGAGGAGCGGCGGCGACGGGCGGGGCGGCTCGAGGAGGCGTCCCGTCGGATGGGGCGGCAGGAAAAGAGGGAGAAGGGAGCTGGGGGAAAGCTTGGGAGGCCCACCGTCGCAGCATGCTGCGAGAGTTTGGTGTGGATGGCGGGGACAGCGGCGTGGCCAAGGTGTGCGTTCATGCTGCGGATGTTCTGCTGCACTCCTGGAACAAACCATTACAAGCCCGTCAACTTTACCGAATCAACCGCCCTCACTATTTGTGATGCATGCTCGGTGATGGAGTTTTGCTTATTCCAACGGATCTCACTTATTTTTTCCCTTTTCTATCCCGCTGCCAAGCGTTGTCCCCTCTCTCATCGCGTCTTACCCCCCACACCGTCCAATCGCGCCCTGCAACGCAAGGCACAGGCCGGCGGCCAGACGGCCAGAGCATCACCCTTGCCGACGTCCTTCGCATCACGGCTGGAGGAGCTAGAGGGGCCGACGACGGGAGGCGGGGAAAGCGGTTCTGGCGGCGGCGGCGGCAAGAGCGGTGGTGACGGGGGCCGAGGGAAGAAGGCCGGCAAAGGCACGGCCGGGGGTCTGCTCGTCACCCCCGAGGAGTACGTGGCGCACGTAAGCGGGCTCAAGGAGGACTTGGAGGTGGCCTGGTCTAGGGAAGAGAAGGTCGCGGCTCTCAAGGTTACTGTCAAGGTATGATGATGTCGTGGTCACGACAAGGTCGTTCGTCGAAAGTCAAAACACGGTGCTGTGANTTGCATCCATTGGTCCATGTAGGTAATCCTTGAACACTATTCCTTCCTTCAACATTCGGTACACTTCTAGACCCTCCTTATCCTTGGATTCTTTCCTCAGATTCTGTTCTTCTCTCTCGGCACAAGCAACATAGAAGTATATATTCTCCTTGAACCCCTGCAGACCCTCCGTTTCCAGCGTTTCATCTTCGTCGATGTCGAGCCCCTTCCATACGTCCTCTACAACCTTGACCCATTCCGTGGGTTGTCTACCCCTCTTCTTGTTTGCCCACTTCACCTCCCATACAATTCTCGGCAACCTCTCCTCTCCCATCCCGTACATGCGATACTGCCATGTCAGCTTCCTCGCGTCTCTTCCCGACCGTAGGGGTTGGATCCCCAATTCTGCCCTGACGGTTGCATTACTTGTGCGCTCGGAGCATGCTAGGATGATTTTCGCTGCTTTCATCTGCGCCGCCTCGACTTTTTGCACTACTTCTTATTTCCTTCCCATACTTCTCCGGCGTATTCTAGCGGCGGTACGATTACGCTTTTCAAAAGCGTCAATTTGATGCGTGTATCGAGGTGCCGGTTTGCGAGTATTGGGTGCAGCTTCCCTGCTCGTGCTTTGCCCTTTTCCGCTACCTTGGACATGTGTGCATTCCACGAGCAGTCTTTTGCGATCTCTACTCCGAGGTATGTGTACTGGTCCACTACTGCAATCTCCTCGATCCCCCACTTCCATCTATGTTCTACTGGTTCCTCCTTGTTCTCGTTGCATACCATGACGGCACTCTTCTGAA